GGGGTTGGACTAGCCCCTGTGAAGCATGCAAACTAGTTTTGTCGTAACAAATTTCACATAAGGTTCTACGTGGATTCTACGGGAATCAAACCCGGAGCCTAAGTGATGAAAGGCAAGTGACTAAGCCAAAGAGCCACGAGAGATCTTTAAAAACAGGTCATATACATTTTTTTAAAAGAAGAAAACTAGTCGTTTTTGCGTAATTTTCGCGTTATTAAACAAGTCTTTAAACTAGTGATGCTGCCAAATCACATACTTTCTTGCATTGTTTCTAAATGCTCTGCAACATTATACTACTAAATAAACCAGCAAACGTATGTTCAGGCAGCAAATTATGTTTGCGCTCCAACTCGCGAACTCAAATATTTCGAGTTAACGCGCAGACACTCATACCACTACGCCACAGAAGCACCGCACCATTCACGAATCTAAGTTAGTTCCATGGGTATTAGTTATATTGTATTTAAATTTAATGTTGATATATTCATTATTTTACTTAAATCGGTTCATACAGGAAGACGTACAATTGCTTTGATGGTGCACGCGTTTTACAAACAGAACAAGAGATGTGAAAAATTGTTTAAAAGTTGAAAATCATATACACACTTTCAGTCATCTTTATTTGTGATTATAATTCCTTTAAATGGTTTTCAATTAAGTTTCTGGAATTCTCAATTTTTGCTGCGGGAACAGAGAATTGTGACAAATAATATTCCCCGACCAAGGCTCGAACAAGCGAATTTTCCCCCTCCGAAGAGCTTTGGTCGTGCTCGCCAATTAGCCACCACGACACCAGTTAACATTTATATAATAGTAATAAGAGTGTAATGGTTTCAGTTCTATTATTATGAAGACGAAAAATCGAGAAAACGTGAAAAACATGTCCTTTGGGCGTTCAAAGAAGGTATCTGGGAAGAGAATAAGGAACAACTGAAAACCTAGTTCAGACTAAAGAGTTTAGAAAACTAACTGCTGCGAGAAAGTCTCTGCCATTCTATAGCACCACTATTTTAATTATACGCTGTTAAATACGAGAAACTTTAATGAAAATATTTCGTGCGGGTTTTCGGAAAATATTTTTAAAAATAGAATATCTTTCAGACACTAATTAAGATAAATCAGCTCATTTTTTTCAAAAATATCGTACATGACCTTTTTGAAAAACCATATTTTATACAACAGACTTTGTTTAAAGCTCACATTAGCGCGCGCCTCGGTTAGCGTATTGAACTGTTATACCCAAGTTGGCAGGTTCAAACCCGATCGAAGCTGTGGATTTTAAGGGCACTAAAATCCTTCGTGCGCCTTCCTTCGGAGGGGAAGAAAAGCCGGCTGTCCCATGTTAGTAGATTTACTTGCATGTAAAAGATCATCAAGCCTGAATGACGCCTCTGACCTAATTTCAAATCGCCTGTTTTTTCGGCCGACCGATACCTCCTTTCTTTGCTAGGTCATCTCCGTCAACAAATATAAACTAAATAAAATATAAATAAAATATCAAGTAAATACAAATTAAGACAGGGAGGGAATTAACACAAATAATTGATACATTTATATTTATAATAATTAGCCAATTAAACTACAAAGTATGAATTACAAGAGGGAGAATATTAATATTGTGACCAGTTTCTACCAGTGACCATTTTCTACTGATCTCTATATTAATGCCACCATTGTATTTCATACCTTGTAATTTAATTTTAGGGACAGGTACCTCCTACCCATGACAATAACATGAAATATCTTCCTTTCAGATAAGATATTCTAAACGAATATTAGACATTAAGATGCCAAAACATTAATAAAATAGAACTAGTGTTCTTCCTTCACACCCATCCTGGACAAAAAATTGTAATTAATATAGTTCTTCTTTTGTTTCACATTTGATGGAGATCATTCTTGTCATCCAATTTTAGGAACATTCTTTTTATTTCTGAACCATGTCACTTTCAGACAACACATGTGCCTGGAGACAACAAGAGGCCTGGGCAAAGATCCTTGGGATCAAACGAAAGTTTCACCAATCATATAGAGTGAAACTTCATTATAACATTCCTTCATACGTTTTCCTATATGTACCACAATTTTTTCCAGTCCCTACCAAAAGCCCATGTACACAGTCTTCCTCTACACAGTGTTCAGAATTCATGGTCCATTAAAAAAACGTTTTGAAGTGCATTATGATTCAACTTTTTTGTTTCGCAAATTGGCCATCATGGGGCCATGCAATATGTTAATCCCACCAAGACTCAGACTTGATTATTGGGGTAGGTGCTTGTTACTTTTTCTATAGGGAAAAATAAGCATTTTTATGCTGATTCCATTTTAATACCCCCTTATTTTGTTAGCCCTCAAGGATGGGATAATGATAATGATGATGACAATGACATAGGCAAACACAACACAACCATGCCCAAGGTGGGACTTGAACCTGCAATCTTCTGGTCTGAGATCGCTACGACACTACAGCCTAGATATCAGCCAACGTATCAGTTATTACTTTTTATTTAACAGGAAATCTTTTAAATCTTCTTCAAAGCATTCATTTGAGTAAAAAGATGTATGATTTGGGAATGAGAATTCCACTCTGAAAGAAATGTCTATTTATTTACGTCAAAAACAGTTAAAAACTATGTGTGACATGCTGTGGGGAGAAGTTAATTTGAAGTTACATTTATGAACAGAAGTAAAACAAGGGGCCATCTCAGCATTTGCTCGATATCTATCTGAAATCAATCTTGAACTGTTGAGGCTACAACCCTTGAAATAATGTCCATCCTGGATGATTTTTAAAGGGAACATGTCACATATTTACATAATGCAACGCCACACATAGAGCAATTAATTTGTCTAGCGAACCAACACTGTGTCTTAAATAGATTAAATAGAGTTTATTTCTCCATGCAACAGAAATAACTTGTATTGATTAATTTGAATTAAAAGTAAATTCCTTTCTTTATATGTTTTGAAAGAAAGAAAATCGGGGGTGCTAATTATGTCAAGGTCTTGGGCAAGTTGTCCCAGTTTCTCCCATTCCAGATCCACTACTTCTCTGTAATTAGAATAGTCTTTGTTACCTTCTTAGTATTGTACCAGGATGCATCCCGAGTCATTTTTGTGCCTGACGGTGAAAGATTTGTAACGGAATAATGATGGAGGAAAACGAGTGTTATCTGTTTTTATTTCATTTTCTTAACTATAAGCCATCTCAACTCAACCAATGGTAACTTTTCATTTCTTTTTTTTTCATGCTGAACCAATGAGTAGATGGTTTTTATGGAAGATGTGAAATTATGGCACAGTGTAGTAAGAGGGTCCACAATGACTAATCAATCTTTATGCCACGAGAGATTCAAATTTCTTAATGATGCGTTTCTTAAGATAATCTATAGGCCTCTTTGACAAGGTCGCAATCAAAGTGGGTGGTGCAGAGGCACAGGGTCCAACTGACTTAATGTTTTCTTCTAAAGAATTTTTCATTTATGTAAAATTTAAAATTTATTTTGTTATGTTGATTTATAGTTATTTATAATGTATCCAATTGAGACACTGAATCACTTTCGTTACTATAGAAAATTAGCAAAAACTTTATTCGTGAATATGTGTCATCACCTTCTGGAGGGGACTGAAGCCCCATGAGACCTCATTGGGTGCATTATTGCTTTTCTGCATCTATGTTCTTAAATCATCATCATCTTTAACTGGTACAGTAATCTGTCATCTTGGTTTTGAGGGCCATGGGCCTTATGTAGGATCATTATTACTCAATAATTTTGAGTACTGGCTATATCATTGGTTCATGTGAGGTTGACAACTCATTTATAGTTAGGTTGATAGTGCTACAGGAAAATAATACCAACAACTCGCTCATTAATTTCAGCCATTTCCTACTCAAGCTACTGGAAGGATTTTCTTCATCGTTTTACAGCTTTTCCAAGGGTTTGCACACATTTGTAAAATTGTATATGTGATGTTGATGATTTATGTTGGGAGTTATGATCTGCATCTGCAGAATTTTTTTTACTCTTCTTTCTGCAGTCTGACAGCACCCTTCCTCTTTCGCATTTTCTTTTTCTGTTTATCCTTAAAACACCCTTTTTTAGAATTTTCCTTATATTTTTTTCTCTGGCAAGATATGCCTGCCACTTTTCTTTCTATTGCATTAGATGTTAAGCCATACATGAAGTCAACTGACAAAGCTAAAAAAATATTCATTAACAACACTCTTAGCTAATTACATTATTAAAAAAAAGACCAATATTGTATAAGGCACAAATAGTTACAAGTTATAGCAAAGAAAGCAGTATTATAACCATTATATGCGAGTATCATACCTGATGCAATGTTTCAACAAGGAATTGGTAAATTTTTATTAAGGAAAACTGTTAGAATATAATAAACACAAAATGTTTAGTAATTTATACAAAATCAGTATGATAAGCTCATAAGAATGTAGATTTATTAAAAAGGATGAGTTTGTCTGCAATCAGTGTTACATTTAGGAGGCAACAGTTTGGAATATAATTTTAAATAAATATGGCTCTTATCTTCAGATTGATGTCAGATGCAGTGACGAATGCTGGTCAGCTTTTATTGCAGGATTGGCTGAGTCAAGTTACTTCCAAGGTTACAAAAAGTGTTGACAAATTTACTTGTGTAGTAGGAAATGACTAAAATAGTCTACTACACCTAATCCTTATAAAATAAATATTATCTCAAAAATTTGGCAAAATTCTTTGAAAAATTTTTGGTCAGATATCCTCTCATTTAATGACATGAAAATGAGAATATTTAAGGAAAAATCCCACAGGAGGTTCACTTTTGCATGGAATGCCCTAACAATTAACAGAAAAAGTCTAAATCCTCATAAAGGCAGGTGTTGTATCCAAGTACATACTTACTATATCTCTCCCTATTAGTTGAAATAATTATATGGTATGGAAATATTTTTAAATATACTGTTAAACTTTCTTTGACATTCTAAAAAATAAGCACAAACATTAAGCGTGTGGTGTTACTTTATTCAGAAAATATTTTCTCACATACATCTCTGCTTCATCTACATTTCCCTAAATCATAGGAATAATAATATTTATTTCAACATTCAATATAGAACATAAGTCTTGTGCGTCAAATACATTACAACCAATTCAACATATTTTTGATAAAACAAATTAAAATCTTCAATTTGTGATTTTGGAAGACATGAAATTTCATAATGCATCATCTGTTCAATACACATTTTCATGATATACACACTTAATACCCTGTAATACAGTTTCATTATATTTCTTATCATTCTTAAGTAAAAGATCCAACCAACAGAGGTGGATAATTCTTACAGGGAAGATGAAATATACAATGGAATAAATAACATTTCACCAAATACAACAACAATGCATTTCATTCAATTCATTTTAACACATCATTACAGTTAATGATATGAAAATTATTTATCACAGCCAGAAAAAGATTATGTAACACAAATACATTAAGTGATTGACTTATTAGAGGTGTAACAACCTCAATCACTTTCTTAACTTATGTTACAATGAAAAATTATTAACAAGAAACAAATAAAACTAACTTATAATTTGTTTTAGAAGTAACTTTGTTAGAGTTGAGTTAGAGCTCATCTGAGGCTAGAAGAGGCTGACAAATATCGAAGATCTTCTTGCAAACAAAATGCAAATAAAAATCATGCACTTTTTCACCTTAAAAGAAAGGTAAATGCATCCTATTTGTAACATTGTCAATTAAATCAACAAGTATTACAAAAGTTTAAAAACATTTACAAACCCACTAATTTTTACCTATTACATTTTCAATTTTTTTTTTTTACTATGAGATAAATGTGTTACACACTAATATCAACTATTTTACAGCATTCAGTAGAAACAGTTATCCACAACAAAAATGCATCTATGAATTTCTTCAACACTATTATTCAATCATATTGCATGCAAGTGCAAATGAGAAGCCACCAAAAACCATCGTTCTATGAAATTCTCACCTCTAATACTAACAGTCTGAGCAAAACGGACCTTCTTACTCACAAAACTAACTCTTAATAATAACAATGGTTCAGTGCAGAGAACAAATCATAAACGAAAAGAGAGAACTATAACTGACACAAAGAGCAATAGGGAAGTATTAGTAGTGGGTTAAAAATTAATAGTACTATTCTACTGACACAGCTAATGCTGATGCTAATACTATCACACGAAGGATTTTAAAAGCACCTACAGTTGAGTATGAAAATGAATCAAAATCAAAATTACTATCTCTGATGCAATTTGATTACAAAGCATTCTGTACAATGTAACACCAAAACATGTTTTGGCTATTTGCAGTAATGTACTGAAGAATTGTATAAATTCAGAATGCCTCAAATCCCACTAAATCCTTAACACTTAAATATGTACTTTTTTTTGGAAAAAAGGAAAAAAGAAAAGCTTATTTCATACTAAATCACAGATTGACATTATTACAACACATCTGACTGCCAATTTACACCTGTTCCTTTCATTATCGAAATTTCTAAACAGTGCACTAAGTGTCAACAAGTATAATAAATCTTTTGTTACTAAGTAAATCACATTTCTCATACTCGTAGATATTTTACAGCTCAGTCTATTAATGTCTTTAGAATATTAGGCATTCTGCATCATGTTAAAATGACTTTCAAATTCAGTGCAAGATGAAGAGCAAAAAGCATATCATACATTATATGTTAAAAGATTTTACTCACTTTGCATTGTTTACGCATTAAAAAGAGACTGGTGCTAAAGGATGCCATAGCCATGGTTATATGACAAAATACTGACATCACTTTAATAGATTATACATATCTGAGCAGCACAACGAATTTTAAACAATACATACCCATTTCAAAACACTTTAAAAACAACAGTTCACAAGAATTTTGGAAAAAAAAGGTGCCACTAATAAATTAATTTTCTTCTTTCAATCTCCTTTTTCTTTTTTGAAATATATTGCTGCCAGCATAATTGATGTACTAAGGAAAGTAGATATAGTAAAATTTGCTAATAAAGTGACATCAGCAGAATCCATGTAAATTGTATATATACGAGCTGGAAATAAAATAAAATAATATCAGAAATTGCATCAAATTGGATGATAGTACAAATGAAATTAGAAAGACTATTCCAATTTCTCAATATATTAAAACAAAGTATACATGGGTTTTTATTCCCTACCATTGACAACCTTCAATTTTTTAAAATCTATGACAAGGAATGATTTTCCCTTGTGCAAGAAACCACTTAACTGATTTATAAATAATTCAAAATACTAACTTTAAAAAAAATCTAATATATTTTAAATCAGGATTTAAAATACAAATAAAACATCAGACTCTTCAGTTTTTCAAAAATGTTTTAAAAGTCAATTTCAATGGAAAAACAACCAATTCAATGGAAAGTGAATAACTACAGTGCTACTATATGACAACTGGAATGGTATAAATTATCAGTAAACATTCAAGAAGATAGATAGAAAAGCGCAAAGTTTGAATCAATGTTAAAGGTAGAAAATGGAAAGACAGTTTATAATACACAATAAAATTTAAGCTTAAATTGATCAAGACAAGAAAAAAATTCCAATTTCAGGAGGTTTCCTTTTTAATAGGGGTTGTCCGTTTTACAACACTTGTGATATTGATATTTTTGTTCCGAAACTAGTAAATTCATGTAAGTAAAGAAGTAATTACAGTAAAGTGAAAATTACATTATTTATTACGATTATTAAAATAGATTTACATATAATCTATTTTTGGAAGAAATCATCAATAAATGAATATTAAACATTCATCATTGACAGCTTCTGAGTTTCTCTAGCTTCCATAAGTGAATTCTACGCTGTTAGCTGAAGTCCCTCTCTTTCACAGTGCAATTGCCATGACTAAATCACGTGGGATAAAGAATTTAAAACAGACATGCAGATTACATTAAGAATATCTTGGCCAATTGCATTCAATTCACAGGAATTCTGTTTAATAAAAATTTTTCCCCTACAGGAGATGAAAAACCGTTCTTTTCCCGTGTTGGACAGGTTCCCTTTATGCTGCGTAAAATACCATATACGAGTAACTTCACGAGCCAGTAAAATTTTCCAGTGAAGGCAGGTTTCCAGCTTGTACAGGTTCCGGTTTAGACAGATTTTACTGTACTAACTGAAAGCTACCTACTACATTTGTCCAAACAAATTAAGTCCATTAGCACATTAAATTAAATAAAATTACTTTTGTAAAAATGTATATAATATTATTAAAATAATAAATATATTGGATAAATTTGATGTAAGATTATTAGAATTTGAAACAAGTATGCAATACTAGCAAGAGTGAGAAGTAGAAAGGAGTGACAAAGAGAGTGGGATGGACAAAAAAAGAGAGAAGAACAAGAAGGAGAAGAAGAACAAGAAGGAGAAGAAGAACAAGAAGGAGAAGAAGAACAAGAAGGAGAAGAAGAAGAAGATGGAGAAGAAGAAGATGGAGAAGAAGAAGCAGAAGAAGAAGAAGCAGAAGAAGAAGAAGCAGAAGAAGCAGAAGAAGAAGAAGAAGAAGAAGAAGAAGAAGAAGTGGAACGTGTGAACAGGAACGTGGGAACCATCATATCCTGGTAAAATAATTAACAATAATAGGTAATAAATAGGTGAATTTGATAACTCCTCCTTGATTATAAACTTGTCATATACATTTCAGTTCAGCAATAACATTCAATAATTAATTTTTTTACTTAAGCTTTTTCACTTATGCTTACATTTCAGTAAAAGGTAAAACAAACGTACGAGAAAATAAATTTGATTCTCTTGTGAAAGTTATCACCTTCAGTTTATTAGTTGCCTATTGTGCTACATTCTTTCCACAGGCGAGTGAAATAGTATTTACTCTTTTATACAATGAATTTTTTAGAAACTAGTCAAGCTAACATAGCACTTACTTTCTCACATTAACAGTAACAGCTATTCAATATTATAATACTACTACATAAACCAGAAATATTTTATTTTAGATGATAGAAAATTCTACTCATACTCGAATACCAAACTCACTGAAAAATGGAGTACTTGCAACACTTGAAAACCAAATACTACGACATTGTAATGGAACCATGGAGAGTAGTGGAATTATTCACCACAGAATTTGAAAAAAGTATATATATGATGGAAGTATATATATGATTGGGTCACTAGGAACCCCAGGAAGACAAAGATATGTTAAATGCTGTAGATTTCTTAGATATCGAGTTAGGACTTGACATCATCTCAGCAGCTGATCCAGATGGCATCCCACCAATCATACAAAGAAAATGCACCACTCATTTGGCTCAGTCATGAACAGCATGTTTCAGAAATCAATGAAGAAGTTTCAAAGGCCTGGATGAGTTCTGGATAACATCCGTTTTCAAAAAGGGTGACAAAAAAAACTCCAACAAACTACATGCCTATTAGCCTGACCAGTGTGATGTGGAAGGTAATGGAGAAAATACCTCAAAGAATTAAAACATTCAATGATATCAAAAATATCCCTCAGCAACGAGACTGCTTTACACCTGGATGATGAACGACGACAAACTTGCTGAAGTCCTTGGATACTTGCATTAAGTCAATTGAAGGACACCCAACGAATATTACATATCTGGATTATGCAAAGGCGTTAGAAACAGAGGCACATAAGCAAAAAATATACAAGCTGGAGCACCTTGGGATAGGAGGAAAGGAACGACATGGATTACAGAATATCTGGCTGGGAGAACCTTTCGTGTTTGTGATAGTAACAAGTCAGTAAGAAGAGTTTCTAGGAATGTTTCATAAGGACTGGCGATTGGACCAACACTAATTATCTTGTATATTGAGGCTGTGTTGGAACAGCTTTGTGGACGATACTAAAATCCAATCCCCTTATATCCCACAAACTTCAGGATGACCTCAGAACAATAGATACTTGGAACAACTAGCAGTTGTTAATATTAAACGGTGCTAAATGCAAGGCATTTAAGATTTTTGTCATAAACCCACATCATCTTTATGACCATCATCTTAATTTCAAGAAGTAGTCTTGCAGTCTGTTCTGTCTTCAATCATCCTTTGTTTCCATTGTTCACAGAATATATTCTGTGAATATATTCCGTAAATCCTTGATACTTATTTCATCTCAAATGGTGCAATCTTTGATTTTTCCAGAAAATCTCATGCATCGTTTTGATTTTGCTTCTTCTTTGTTTGTTCAGGATTCACTACCACATGTTAATACTGGTATGACCATGACTTTACATAAGTTTATTTCTGTATCTTTTTAGACGTTGCCTCATGTTCTACGAATTGTACCAAACATCTTTTGGTATCTACTGAGTTTAATGATGATGTACTTATCATAGTCATAACTCATATCACATTCTGAGAAGTTGAGGTGTAAGACTTATTCTATAATTCTACTGATTCAACAATTTTGGAGCAAACTGGATATTTTGCTCTTTAGGGTATGCCTTTTATCTTTGAAGTTAAGATTATCACGTGAAAGTTTAAGATCTCAGACTTAAGGCTCTTTGGAGATGTCATTTAAACCTGTGTCTAGAGGATGCAATTTAATTTCGGTTGTAATTCTTGTTTTCTATTGCCTTACAATTTCACTCAATATGCAGTGCACACTTGTTGAACTCCTCTGATAATTTTAACTGGTTCCAGTTTTTATTTTCTGGTGTTTAATTACATGAATGATGTGCTTAGGATATCGGCCTTGTTCCATAATATTCTAGCTCATTTCTGTTAACTCTATCCAAGGATTCCTCATAATTAGGAATTGGATTTTTATGTAGTATAAAATGCCAAAATATGCCATAAAATACACAGTAAAAATGTATAATATACAAATTTATGCAGTTAAAATGAGGGAAATTGTGTAAAAAAACTACCCAAAATGCCTTCCCATAGAAATAGAAATTTCTTTTTGGATTTAATAAATATTGTGAGATGATGCTAAAAGAAATTTACCAAAATGTACATTACCTAAATAAATTAAGTAGTAATATAACAAAAAGGTTTACAGCAACTTTTCATCATTTATATTAACAAATACATTTTAAGATTTTCGACATTAAATCGTTGACAATTTGTTAGTTTTTGTAAACTGAAAATGAAGTGAAAATTCCACATCTATGTTAGTGATAGGCGCAAATACAAGGCTGCTCAAAATTGATGTTTGAAGAATATGATTTGAGAAGGCTCCTCTAGCTATTAAACAGGAAGCATGTCTGTGATTAAACACTTCATATCGGTACTCAATTTTGTGATTTTCTTAGCTATGTATTCCATATTTCTTTCCCATATCATAGCCATGTAATAGCCACATTCCTTTACATCAGAGGGTATAGTGTTCAAGGGAATAAAAGAAGAAAAATAAATTAATTCAAGGGAAGTCATAATCTGAGTAACTTGGCATTCTGCACTAACTGATTTTGACCAACAGAAAAAACAATCCACATGAGGGCAATATCCTTGAACTTGGGAATTTTATGCATCATTAATAGTAAAATTTGCAACATAGTCTAGCACTACACAGAAATGACGCACACACGCACGCACATACATACGCATGCGTGTGCACAACACATACACACACACGTTTTATCCCAGGGGGTGGTGGTATTCCTCTCCTGCTTGATAATGAGATCCGATGTTGACCCACACAGCAATTTGCAAATTTCCCCTCCAGGTATCTCACCCAGCAGAGCACCATTCCAGCTGGGACAAGCACTAAGCTCTTGACTTGTCTCCCAACATGTGTGGCAGTGAAGTACATGCAAGTGTAAGTGTGTGTGCACAAGGGGAACGTACAGAACAAAGAAGAGGTAAGGAAAGATGCAAATGGTCTGTGGCTTGTTTGTTAGAGTACTGCTCCAGTGTTTGCCTAGTTTTGATAGGAGAAACTATGGAAACCTTTTGATAAGAGTAGCTGGCTGCGAGAATTCTCTTCTAGGCAGAGACTGAATTCGACCTATGTAGCTAGTGTCAAAAATTCGCCACTATTGGGACTTGAACCCTAGGACCTCTCAGTCAAACTATGTGACCCAAGTTGCCAATATTGGAATTTTAAAGAATAAACCAACCACACTTGCAATATGGTATTGAAAAAAAGGTGAGATCATGAAGGAAATATGGACAGAACAATGACACTACAGAAAAGAGCTATTAGGTACATATTCATTTTCAGCCCAGACAACCAAGAAAGAAAAAAATAAGGAGTGTAATTTCACTTCATTTATACAGTAACATTATTCATGAAAAAGAACACCAGCATACACTTCAAAGACAAAGACGAAGACCCTTAGAGAAAGGGTATAATAAGGCTATAGAGTGCCCGAGTTTAGGAATTAAGTACAGGATCTTATGGGCTTTTTCCGTAAATAAACATCCTCCCCATTAAGGTTTCAAAGTGGTTTTAAATACTCATTAACATAATTTTTAATTAATTTAATAACAAGAATTAGATTAGTACAATAATTCCTTGACTACATTATATATTTACATTATATATTTAAAATAATTCGACTACATTATATATTTACCACAAATCGTGGTGAATATCTTTAAAATTTATTAATTTTTGTAGGAAGGGATACGTTCGATTCTAGGATAAGCCATAGCTGCGGGGCCATGAGCTTCGGTTGCCAATCATACTGTGCTCAGAAAGTTCGAGTTCCAGTTGTTTAACTGAGTTTGTTCACCTGAGTGTCATTGTGTTTTGTTTTTGAAATTTATAGTCAATCACGTCATTTACTTTTCTTTATTTTGGTTTTTAGGTTGTGGTAAATTTATTAATTAACAATTTTCTAAAATTAATTTCAGTTTCATTGCAAACTTAATTTAGAACGTGTGAGCCACCAACTGTAAAGCGCCAGAATGGTAAAGTGCTCCATACTGGGGAAAAACAAATGGTTGGTAATGTTTATAACTATAATTATGTTTTCGAACGGGATTCCTACTCAATGCCTACCGGGAAATAACTGTTCACTCTCCCGGTGTGAGTTAGCTCGGTTTCCCGAAAATCAAATCAGTTTGTTCCCATTGGTCCAACTTATTTTGTCGCCAAAGGAATATTTTATATATTCAAAACTTATTATTTATCTACCGTTATAAAGGAAACAAGAGCCTTGCCTTTTTTGCGATTGCATGTAGTTGGCTTGAATTTTGAATATTGTATGAAATAGTGATGCACTTTAAAAGTAATATTTCTTCCTCATTTCTTCTGACATTTTGCAACACAAAGGCCATGAGAAGCTTAACAGAAACATTTCCTGTGTATCCGAGTCTCACAGAAATAGTTTTAGATATGAGGAAAGGGAAGAAAATACACTTTCATAAAATTGGAAAGCTTCTAGACAAAATACTTTAGAGCTATGCTAGCACTCCACCCAATTGCGTCACCAACGAGTGCAAAACTTTTGATTCATATAGTTCAGCAGAAAAGTGCCATGTTTGGCATCACTGCCGCCATAAGACACCGTACTTCATTCTTAACCTCGGACGCGCCATAGATTATAAACATCTATATCATATAAACATAGCTAACACAAATAAACACCTATTTAAAAATTTTCTAATTGACATTTAAATGGTATAATTGGATTTAATGCTTATTTTATTTTCACGCAACAGTAATTTATATACACTAAAGTCTGTCTAAACCGAAACCTGAACAAACTGGAAAACTGCCTAAACCGGAAAATTTCTCCGGTCTGAGAAGTTAAATAGCACTTTACACAGCACAAAATGGAATCTGTCCAACATGGAAAAGGAACAGGTTTTCATGTCCTACAAGGGAAAAAATCTTTATGAAATGGAATTCCTGTAAATTTAATGCAATTGGCAGAGAGATGCGAGATGTTCGTAATAAAATGAATGCATCTGCACACTTGATTTAAATTCGCTCTCCCTGTGACATGCAATTTAGTCAGGGCAGCCGGACATAGAAGGAGAGGGGCTTCAGCTGTCAGTGTAGAATTTGAACATGGGGTCGCTTGTCTCTCAAGAGGAATTCGCTTATTCTGAATCTCAGAGCATGAGAAGGTGTACGGGCATATAGCAGCCACGACTTCTTTACTTGCTCCTCCCTGCCTTGAAAATCATAACCCCTCAACCAGATACGTATTTCTCAAGGCCATGTGACGATATCTGAAAGTACTGGGTTGTGATACATTAAGCGTTTAAGGAATCAGCAAGCAGTCTGAAAACAGCCAGTAAGGTGTGTATTTTTCAACTCAAAAGCTGTCAATGAGTGTTTAATATTCATTTATTGACTATTTCTTCCATAAATACGTTACATGTTAATGTATTTTGATTATTATAATAGAGTCATGTAATTTACTACTTTCAGAGCAGAAATGTCAATATAACAAGAGTCATAAAATGGACAACCTTGCGTAAAACAGAAACCTCCCTAAACTGGAAATTTTTTTGCCCTAATTGATTTTGGCTTAGACAGATTTTACTGTACCAATATTCCTATTACAAGCTACACATAAACATAGATTTTTCTAATAATCTCACAAAATATGAATGGCTTAGTGCACAAACATTGCATGATGTCATGGTCATTTTTGCATTAATAACCTTTTTGGAGACCTCTCGTTCATCTACCTAGTGTACAAATATTGTACGTCTATACAAGATGGATCACACTTTTTACTCAGAAAGGAAGCATTGTTGGTCCATAAATAAATGCAACTTAACAAACTTTCAAGCTTGGTTTTCTTGAAACTAGAAATTCTGGACATACAATATGTATGCACTAAGCCATTTATATAATGCTAAAGAAAGAAAGAAAGAAAGGGGAATATAAATATAAACTTACTCATATTTGTAAAAGCTGATAAAAACCAAGTCAGGACACTAACTGATGATGAATTCTTTGATCTTAATATTTCCAACAATTGAACTATTTTACTTGAAGCAGAAACTGGGGTGCATAAGGGCTGCAAAGTAAAAATAAATTAATTATGAAAATTATATAGCAAAAAATAATACATTCCATATCAAGTAAGTTTTATACTCACTGCCAAAAATGATAATATTGATTTGGGAAATATTTCCAAAAGAAACGAAGCAGTAATAGTTAAATATATTCCAAAAGCTCCAACACTGAATGCATTTAATAAGTTCATGTACAATAAAACAAGGTATATAAGAATTATTTCTTGAACTAAAATTATTGGATACTCCATGTATGACAGTAAGGCATATCCATTGCAATAATTATAACAGGTCATTATGGTATAACTGAAATAGAACAAAGTAGTCACAGGTGAAACAAATCTTCACAATAATAGTAATACTTAATGACAGAAAGATTCAGAAATTTTGATGTTACAACAAATAAATTGTAACAACAGAACATCACTGTACTGCAAATGAGATTAAAAGACTGAACCTTAAATGGAATGTTTCCCGTTATTTACTATGCAACCCTTGCAGTGGTTTAAAGGGAGTAAAAGAATATTAACCAAAGAATTTCATGTAGGTATTGTGGTGAGTTATTGTTGGCATTTCTAATGAAATAATTATATGCGTCGTCATTGCCAACAATATTATTTATTAAAAAAGCAGCTTTCGATGCCTTAGCCATCATCATCGGTTATCTGCTGTATGGAAGCCACAAAAATGACTAGTAATTATTTCAAAGAATTTCCATGCCATTAATACCAAAAATGCATGCTTTCAGACATGTTATTTTTTCCTCGCAAATAAAACACTAACTTCCTTCTTTGTTTCCTCCCCACCTGATAAAAATGTTAAGGAAATCAGCAAAACTGTCAAAAGCAATATAAAAATATAACAAAGAAATACAAAATTTTTCATTAAATTCAAATATGGAAAGTCACGATACACTACGGGAGGTGAACTATATCAACTCAAATTCACTCCACAGAAATAATTTGTAATTTATTTTCTAAAGTAAAATATTTTTCATTCACATTTTTTAACAATATGCCAAACAAATTAATAATATACTTCCTGAATGCAGAAATCTGATTAACATGAACAAAAACTTCAGTCCTAGCAAACTTACATACACATCAAAAGATCTGATGTTTTAAGGAAAGGATAAAATCAACCTTCTACAATTACCTAGAATGGAATTTTATGAGCAACTACTAACTTTCTAAAACATCCCCTAAGCGTATCACTATTATTTGTCATTGGCCTGTTTCAGCTCAGAACATGCCTGTCTCATCCTCTTATTGTAACATAAATCTAGTCCTTGGGTCATTCAACATATCTATAGCTTGCTGGAGTTGGTAAGAATTGGCCTGGTGATACAGATTCCATCCATTACTATCATTCTATATCCTTTTTTCGAATCATCTACCCAAAATTGAATATTTTGAATCTGCATTTTATTTCTTCATTGACCTCCTATCCTATTTTTAAGACTCAGTTTTCTGATTGGAGCATAAAAACCGGTACCATTCTTGTGTAGAACTTCATGATAGTCTCTTTCCATACTATATTTCTCACTGTTCTATAAATAGTTCCGCGCACCTATTGATACTTACGTATCTTTGGTATCATAGTCATAATTATAAAAAATATCACAACCTAAGTAGCAGAAGAGCAATATTTGTTTAATACATTTTGTCTTCAATCATTATTTTGGATTTCACAGGATTTAACTGAATTTTCTCTGAATAGCGCAATGTTTCCTGTTTGAAGATGGTGATATTGTAGTGTCATACATTTAATCAATTGTTGAATGGCTCTCTGAAACTGATTATCATTTGCAGCTAATAAAGCATGGTTATCTGCAAATAAAACAGTGTCCAAGTCTAAGACTTCTAAGATACATATTTGCTGTTTACTTTTGCTCAGTGCATTGTCTTTAGGGATAATAAAATAATCAGGAGACAAGAAAACATCCTGATTTTACACCCTCAACAACATATTTGTCAAATTGAAAAATTCTCAGTTTGAGTAACTTTTCTCATACAGGCCAAAAATTACCGTCAGAGTATCCCGACAACTCTCATTAAGTCAATGAATAAAATGCAAGTCTCTAGGCTAAACTCTTGTGTCTCTTTAATTTGCTAATAACTTCATATTAAATTAAATTCTAGTTCATCCTCATACAGTTGAGACATCACAGCAGGTTTATGAATCTCAATATTCTAGGAATGAGAAGCATATTTATTAAAGCATAATATATTTTCAAATTTGACTTTATGCACAAAGAATATTCACAATGAAAAGAAATCAAAGTGAATATTTCAAAAATGCAAAATTCAGGATTGACAATAACAATTTTCAATGATTTTTACTCACACCTGGAAATGGAATATTTTCTTCATCATACCAACCACTAAACATTACCTATGAATATAAAATTATATTGAGACTTCACACAAAACATTGTAAGACGATACCTTGAAAGTTCTAAAAGTAATCCATAAATATTTAAGCCTTCAGCACTTTTGACTTTATACAGGTTTATTATTTGCGGTATCTTCAAAATGAGACATAAAGATATGGTGATGACACTCAAAACATCAGATACAAGACGAGGAATATCCATGATTATTGAACTTCTTCAGTAATCCCAATTGTTAATTGTCAGGACTTTTCCAAGGTTCTGAAATTAAAACATATCGTCATAATCGTTGTTATAGGCATACATAAGAATCAAATGTGGTGTTGGATTTGAAAAAAAAAGGAATAAAAAAGCGCCACAAATAACAGAAACGAAACTTATATGGAAATTGCGATTTTGAGTCATGTTTCCGCGCTTTAAACGCCGAACAAACAACCCTTATCACAAACATACCTACGCTCTAAGTTTTCACGACACACTATAAATGAAACATATTCAATGCTTCAAACTTGTCACACAGAGCAAACCAAATAACATTTCTATTTGGAACTCACCGGACTTTATGGACTGGAAATTACTTCACATACAATTTTCTAATGGATGTAACACGATCTAAATATTAGGCCTTACATATGATCACGTTGGTCACACGGAGAAACAAATGAAAGTACGATATATGAAAACTCTTTGAAATAGGAGGACAATTATATAACATGTCTCGTTCATTTTGGACCTCTTATAATGCATTACATTAAGGCAAGTTAAAAGTTCAAAATTTAGTGCACAATACACCCGCTTGAAGCGCCTGTGCATACTAGAAAAGTTCACTAATAAATAAAAAAAATGTAATTTTCAGGCAAAATACGCCATTATACACTAATGTTAATATACAGATTAATTTATTGATTACTTAGTTTTATTATGACGATCATTTTTATTAAAATTAAGCCAAAATTTGGAAGAATTTGAGAAAAACTGACCACATATTTTGTGGCATTGCCATTATGTGAGAAAAACTTTTAAAATAAAGAAAACAAACGCAAATTATTGAAATTTTCTGTAGTGTCATTATTAATGTTCATAATTGTAACCTAATACAGCATTTGAAGTTTTATTTCTCTATCTAGTTTACTAAAAATAGAGGTGTAAATGTTTTGCAGAATTTTAGGTTAATGCTTCATAACTCAATACAAATGGAAATTATGGTTCAAATGACAAGTATTAAACATTGTAAAGAATGACATATGTTTATTTACTCTTTCAATATTATATATTTGTAATAATTTGTAGTATCCTTACAGCAGTTAATTTTTTATAGCATTTTTTGTGTCTCAAATTATCATGTCAGGTTTAATGATCTGTACACCAAATTTGATTTGTTTTTTCTTGGATGTTACTTGATGAAGGTTGATAATATAAGGAGTAATATCCATTAAAATCTTAAGAAGAATATTTCAAAATAAATTAAACAAACATTTATTGGAAATCAGTTGAACAAAAACATTATAGTTTTACAATAAATAGTTTACTAACATTATAATTGAAATTATTCTCAAGAATTGGAAGGATTCGTAATTATATGTAAATTTCCAATATTCTTCTTCAAGTTAATTACAAGAGAAAACTATTCTTAGTATGACATCTATTTCATTATTATTTTATAAATTTTGTATTTCATCAGTAAAGATATAGGAAAAGTTTGGAAAATTTAACTGTCCTAATATCTAATATATAAATTTAAAGACATATGTTCTTTATTTTTATGAATAAATAGATGCTTCCTCATGAATTAATTTTCTAGAAATGTGCATGAGATTCAATCCCCTAAAAACAATTTAAGAAAATAAAGAACATTGAAATCAGTGAAGAAGAGAAAGTATTGAGCTTTAGTTTAAAAAATCAATTAAATATTGGAGATATCTAAAATTTCTTATTCTGATATTTGTACGCACAGATATTTAAGAAACAAATGACTAGCCTAGGTGTCTTCAAACTAAATTTTTCAGAACATTTTATAATTTAACTCATTTCTTAACACATCTGCAATAGACTTATAATGAAGGATTCATTAGGTCAGTTGGACCTCAAAAGGATGATTGTCATGTAAGAAAAATGTAACTTCAAATTCTTGGATTCATGAAAAAGAGATTTGCTAAGTTCATGTCCTCAAAGGTCCACAACTCACTTCATTTACTAATCTGTGAATGAACCAATCTTTCTTCACTGAAAAAAGGCAGCCTGAAATCTTTTAATGCTACTCCCTCAAAAACGGTCCTTTGTAAGTGTTGACAGGATAATATGGTCATTTTCATGGATTTTTTAAAAAACAGGCCAAATAATAATGTAAACTGCTTGAGTATAAGAACAAGGGAAAAGTCAGCCATACACTTACACTTCTTATGGAGAAGCTTTACCAAAAGCATTATTTTAGGACTGCTAATAAAACAACACAATTTTGAGATGTTGTTTCCACATTTGACTTTTTTGTTGCTGGTTTTTGATCCTAAATAATAGGTAGTACTGATTCTTTGCAAAGGTTTCATAATCTTATAAAAAAGAAATAGGGGGGGAAAAAAACCGAAGAACATTTCATTCCTTTAGAAAGGTGATCTACCTCATACTCACAGTAGGAAATATATTTTGAAAGAGAAAAATAACGAAGAATATAAAGGATTGTTATATTTTGGAGATAGATTCCCGTGAAAAATAGCTTCTTTCATATTAGAAGAATCATTTACAATGAGAACTGAAGGAGAAACAAAGTAAATGGTCACAAACATTTTAAATCACAAAGAAAATTCTAAAATTACCAAAATTCAAAACAAGAGCGAACTGATCATTTAAAACATAAGCTTCCGCGGCTCGAGTCCATGACTTTTTGTCTGTCGCAGTGACGCCGCGTCGTTGGCTGAGAGGCCGACGTTTCGCCTGACCCGGACAGCCAAGAAGTCAAGAGCGAACTGACGTTTTAGTTCAAAGAATTAAGTGACGAAAAGTCAGATTTGAGGATTTGTTTAAGGTAAAAGTTTGAGTGTGGCTCAGAAAATTTTCAGTTAAAATAGGAAGATTTGAGAAAAGGAAGAGAGTGCATGAAAACAAATTCGAGAAGACATTCAGTATCCCTTGCTGTACAAGAGGCGAATCAAGTACGAGAGAACAAGAGGCGATAAAGCGGTAACCCAGCGAACTAAAAAGGTACTGTCAGGAGCTGTCATTTCACTTTGAAATGCTCGTTGCGATGAGCCATACTTTACATTTTCAAAGATGGATAATATATTTCAAAGAGAGAACATAATGGTGGCATTCTATATATTATGCAACCGGAAAATGACCTCGGATAATTGACATGAAGAATCCAAGAACAGAACTACCTGCAATGCTTGTTACATGCCTCATTCCTTGCGTTTGCAAAACTCCGATAACCACACGTTTAATTGCATGCTGTCGTTGCTCGCCACGTCTTATTCTCGCCTTCTTGACATTTGCATTGAGGGCAGACATGTTGGTAGCTTTGACAAGTCGGTAGACCTGTTTCAGCGCCACTTATAAAGATACATAAGAGTGCACGAAGCTTAAAAATCACTCCTACATTCATATAGGTATAATATTACTAATGCTTCGATATGCCAATGGGTGAACTTCTGAATGTCAACGATTACCTCTCGATTAATCAGTTAATTATTTTAAATCAACGAAATTTTTCAAATCTAGTACATTTCCAAGACGAAAACATTTGCAGTGTTTTCTAAAGAAGTTATGCGTTCTTCCTGACCATATTTTTCTCCTCGTCTCACAGTCTTCGTCCTGTGAGGGTTGTGTTTATGTGTTCGTAGTGGCACATTCAGCGAACTATGTAGCAAAACGTGTGAAAAGTAGTTATTTAATTTGTTTAGGAATGTGTTATTATTATTTAAATAAATTCACTTCAAATGTGAGTGCGAAATTTCAAATAATCGTTTCCATTAGCAGTGTACGGCTAAAACTGCCATACGATTGAAAATAGACATTATTTGTTGAGTGAAGCATCGTCATGTCTTTAAGTCGTTCTGTACTTTTACTTATCTGTTCTTTTTCTGGCTAGGAAACCATTGTGCAACAGGGTTGCACTAATTTGAACTAGTGCATCAGGGTTGCTATTAGTATTGGAAAATCGCCAACACACGCAACTTCTGTTACTATTGCAATTCACTGTTATTTTGCTTCTTTCCTATTTGATCTTCGAGCACAGCCGCTACAATCAGTAAACTTGTTGTAATTTGACGAATCCTTTCTGAATAACTCACGGGAAAATAAAATTTGATATTGATAATATATAATAGTCATCATCATTGTATGCCAAACCAGTTCAAATTGCATGCCACCGCCCAAGAAACGCGCGAAATACACTTACCCCAGAAAATGCGATACTGTCTTCCGTGCCCTCTCTCTTGCAATAATACGAGGTATAACTATACCCTCAATCTTAGAATACATTCAAGATGGAGTCCTGACTTGGGCCTTAGCCAAACTGCAGGTGAGATAGGCAAGGGAACTTTGAGTTTTATCGTTGTTTTCCACATATAAATTATACCCGTATATTTACAAATACCAACCGGTCATACATATTACTGCCAAAAAAGTTATACCATTTGGTGACGGTTAGGGAGATGATATGATTAGGAGAACTTGGATCTTTCTTTTCATCAATTATATTTATACTTTCTTACACGATCTATCTCTGCATCCTTCATGAGAGCACCTGTTGGTCCTTTAATTTCGATTGCTCAAGGTTAGATGCTGCGTGGCAAAGAGGACTAAACTATTCAAGGACAGAGACGGATGATTAAAAAAAGCCTGCGTTGCTAGCGCTGGCACATTCATTCAATAGATAGTCAATTTAATACATTTTGTTCACTACGGTATAGCACATCCCAAACCTAGATCACGGATGCAGAGAGCCTTGCAGCAAGTCCAGTAAGAGACAGAATGAAGAGATCGGGAAGAGGGGACGAGGACTTTTTACTTTCATAATGCTCCTAAAAGTTAAAGAACTAAAACTCAGAAGCTTTAGTTGTTCGAACATACCGTCTACAAAGTCTCGGGTGAAGCAAGATTATCAAAATGTATCGTCAACCCACTTTTGTAAAAAAAAAGAAGCATGCTTTCTTTATGCATGCGATCTTACGAGAATTGCGTTTTTGAAATATGTAACTGCTTTATGAAAACAATTCCTACCAATGGTATAAGAAAACCTGTGTGTGTACGAATGCCAGCGTAATTACAGCGATTCATGAATATTTAACAAGAGAGTGAGTATAACGAAAACGGGTATTGTAATACATTCATTTGGAACTTGTCCATCGTTTACATTCGGACACTGCAAGAGAACTTAAACCACTCTGTACAACGATATGTCATTCTACCACAATATGTAAGGCACTACGAAATTCTGCAAACGTCACTTGTGCTTGTCATCTACCCTGATTCATAATGCAACTTATGTAATATGTTGCACTTATACATCATGGTCTGAACTACCAGTTATAGAAAGTTGAAGGCTTTGAATCTATGACCCGTAAATTGGTATAAATCGCGAATTACATGGTCTAGCTAGTTTCTTCTTTTCGGCGAATTTGCATTACCCGAGTTTTCTAATAGGCATATACGTGAGACCGAACGTTTCTGTACTTCTCTCTTCAGTTGAGACGCTCTTGCCTTCCCTTCTTCAAT